AACCCACACAGCTACTAGCTAGCAATTAAAAAGAAATTAACAACCAAACAGAATGTTGTAAAAATTGGAAAGAATTAAAAAAAAAAAAAAAAAAAAAAAGCATATAACATTTCAAACTTAAGACCTTTCGTTAATTTTAAAGAATAGAAACCATTGCTTTTGATCAAACTTCTTGATCATTTAACCAAAATTTTAAAAATTTATACTCATACAAAAAGAAGTTCCAGAATTTTAAAAATTTATACTCTTATGAAAAGAAATTCATAAAAATGGAAAATGAAAAAACACACAACGTTTTATACGCTTGACCTCCTTGTTAATTTTAAACATCCTACTTCTAGTTAAACTTCTTAATCATTTCACCAAATTTAATCAATTTATACCCTTATAAAAAGAAATTCTTAAAAATTAGAAAGCAAATAAACATATAACAATTTGAACCTAGGACCTCCTTGTTACTTTTAAACAACATAAACTAGTAGTTCTAGTTAAACTTCTAGGTCATTTAACCAAATCTTATAAATTTATACTCTTATGAAATTATATGAATATAACACCCGAAATAATTTTAGTGCTGTAGACATCGAAATTTCAGTAAAAAAAAAAAACAAATGTTCACCAATGCATTAAAGTTTTGACGTGTCAAGGCATACATGGCATACGCCACGTGTCGTACAAATTGTACACATGGCGTGTGACTCAACAAAATAGGAAGAAATACCCTTGAAGGATTAAACAAGTTTTTCTTCTCATTTTGGGCAATGACAAGGCAAGTACATTTCAATCCATTGAGGATCAAAACAAGTTTTTCTTCTCATGTTGGGCAATGACAAGGCAAGCACACTTCAATCCATTACGGATCAAAGCAAGTTTTTCTCATTTGGGCAATGACAAAGCATACACATTTCAAGTTTAAAATGGTATTAAGTGGGAAATTAGGCCATAAGTTACACCACTTCAAGTTTAAAATGGTGTTAAGTGGGAAATTAGGCCATAAGTTACACCACTTCAAGTTTAAAATGGTATTAAGTGGGAAATTAGGCCATAAGTTACACCACTTCAATTTCAATATTGCATTAAGTGGGAAAATTAGGCAATGGTGCTTGGAAAGGAAAAAAATATTTTGTGGTGGTGATTCATTCTCAAAGCCTATAAATAGGCTTCTCCATCAAGGTATCAAGCATCAACCAATTCACAAATACATTTCTCCACACACCAAAACCTTGAAGCCTTAGAGTTCTAAAGCTCTCAAGAAAATCCCGAAGGATCAAGAAAGCACTCTTCGTTCTTCGTCAAATCCTCCTTCAAGATCAAGCCCCAACGGCCCTTGAAGAACTTCCACCAACTCAAGATCAAGCCCCGACGGCCCTTGAAGAAAGTGTTCATCCGTTCATCCTAAGCTCAAGCCCCAACGGCCCTTTGGATCAACAACCTCAACAAATCCACACATCCAATCGTTCTTCAAGATTAAGCCCAAAAGCCCTTGAAGATCCACTCATCCATCAACCTTCAAGATCAAGCCCAAAAGCCCTTGAAGAAATCCACACAACCATTATTCAAGATCAAGCCCCGACGGCCCTTGAAGAAAGTGTTCATCCGTTCATCAACTGTTCATCCTTAGATCAAGCCCAAAAGCCCTTGAAGAAATCCACACAACCATTATTCAAGATCAAGCCCCAACGGCCCTTGAAGAAAGCGTTCATCATTCATCATCCGTTCATCCTAAGATCAAGCCCCAACGGCCCTTTGGATCAACAACCTCAACAAATCCACACATCCAATCGTTCTTCAAGATTAAGCCCAAAAGCCCTTGAAGATCCGCTCATCCATCAACCATCTTTCAAGATCAAGCCCTGACGGCCCTTGAAGAAAGTGTTCATCCGTTCATCCTAAGCATAAGCCCCCAACGGCCCTTTGGATCAACGACTTCAACAAACCCATACACCCATTCTTCAAGATCAAGCCCAACGCCCCTTGAAGATCCATTCATCAACTGTTCATCCTTAGATCAAGCCCCGACGGCCCCTTGGATCAACAAACAAATCCACACATCTATTCTTCAAGATCAAGCCCAAAAGCCCTTGAAGAAAACCAACTGTTCATTCAAGATCAAGCCTCGACGGCCCTTGAAGAAAACCAACCGTTCTTCAAGATCAAGCCCAAAAGCCCTTGAAGATCCGCTCATCCATCAACATTCAAGATCAAGCCCTGAAGGCCCTTGAAGAAACTTCCATCAACCTTCAAGATCAAAGCCACTAAGGCCCTTGAAGAAACTTACAACTGTTCATCCAAGATCAAGCCTCGACGGCCCTTGGATCAACAAATCTACATCCTACGAAGATAGAATCAGAGGACCAAATTTGAGAGAGATCGTAACCCCAAAATCATTAAACACAAAATATTATTTTGTACACGTTATTCTTGTTTCTTGTTTCAAGGAACTTTCGTGTTCACAAGTGCCCCTGATTTTTTTGGGCCCCAGACAGTCGCCCAGCCTGCACTAGACCTGGGCCGGCCCTGATTCAATCTCTGTGTGTGTGTGTGTAAGCACCCACGAATTTGTATGTACGTGTATATATGTGTGATGGTCATAGGTAGAAAGTTGGGAGTTTTCATGAAAGAAGGTTGAGCTAGGTTTATTTTAGGGTGTTTTAATAAAAAAAAAACCAGCGGTACTGTTCACCTTAACGAAAAACCACATTTTTACACTAAAAAGTCAATTCTGGTACTATTCACTTTACCCTTTATTTTGTCATTTTCGTTAAAACTCAAAGTTTTCAAGCCCTTTTCATTAGTTTTCAAGCCCTTTTCATTAGTTTTCCTTTTATTTTAACCAAAAAAACCTTGCTATAATTTTATTTGATGAAAAAAAAACCTTAAATTTTAATAAAGAAGACAAAAGAACTTAAATTTTAAGGAAAATGACACAATTTAATATAAAAAAGAAAAAAAAACCTTTTATGAAACCAAACAGTATTATACTGTTTATAAAACTTAACAATAGTACACTATTTATGAAACTAAACGGTACTATACTATTTATGAAATTGAACAATACTACACTATTTATTGGTCCATATTCATAAATAGTGCCTAATTCTTGGTTCATTTTCATAAATAGTGCCTACATATTGGGTTTTATTTCAAAATAGTGTATAGTAATTAGTACAGTTTCATAAATAGTGTCTCATTCTTGATCCAGCTTCATAAATAGTGTCTAGTTCTTGGTCCATCTTTCATATATAGTGCCTAGTTCTTGGTCATGTTTCATAAATAGTGTCTAGTTCTTGGTCCAGTTTCATAAATAGTGTATAGTAATTGGTATAGTTTCATAAATAGTGTCTCTTTCTTGGTACAATTTCATAAATAGTGTATCTTTCTTAGTTCAGTTTCATAAATAGTGTCTCTTTTTTATATTGAACTCTTTTAATTTTTTATATTTTCTAATCAAACAAAGAACCAATTAGAACCGGAGGTGATTAAAAATTCATATGGTTCACAGCTCAAAGTCTATTTTTAGCATATTCCCATACAAATCAAACAAATGATACTATGAATTATAAATCGAACCTGGAATTCATAAGAAAAAAAAAAATCGAGCTTGTATTTTACTCAAATAATTGAGAATCCTAGATGATAAGAAGCTTCAAATTCAAAACTCAATTTTCCTACATTTTCGTGAGCCAAACACAACTCTCGTGCATGGAAAGCATTTAGAACTGATATCAAACATAGAGAATGTGTCATCAAACATAGAGAATGTGTCATCCAAATACAAGAAGTAGGCGAAAAATCGAATCTAAGAAGCTCAATTAAGTGAAAACTTCATTAAACAGTGAAAATTAAAGATGAAAAACTTCGACATTTCTGCAAATCATTTTCCTGAGTTCCTCGGGAACAAAACAACACTTTGCAATTGAAATTCCAGAAAATTAATAGTCGATCCTTGAGTGAGGAGGAAGGACCGAGATGGAGCTGAAATCGCAGGCCTTGTTGATCTTCAACTTCATGTGCTTGAATCAGTAAGACTTTGAGGTCCGTTTAGATGTTCGAAAATTGGAGATTGAAATGGAGTTGAATTTCTAGGAGATTTGAAGAGAGATGGACCTTTGATTGGAAAAAGACTCCTGGTTGACAGTTTGAAAAAATTCTCTGCTTCCTCATATTGTTCTTATCTGTAAGTGGAGGATCACGTATTTGATAGAGATACAATGGCTTGCACGCACTTTTGTTAGGTATTTTTTTGGTTTTTTCTCTGTCTTATCCTTATGTTATGTTAATGAACTCCACTGGTTCTCTCTAAGAATGCTTTTTTTTTTCTTTTTTTTTAATTCCAAAAAAGCCACTTTTCCTGCCAGGTTTTTTTTTTTTTTTTGTTTTTTTATTTATGAATCCCCTTTTTCCTGCCATCAATCACTCCACATAATTTTTTTTTTTTTTTTTAAGTTGCGGCATATATTTTAAGAGGAGAAAAAACTCCATAGAAGCAAATACAAAAGCTGGGAAAAAGCACCAGCACACCAAACCAAACAAAAGTTGGGAAAAAAACGTTGTGAAATTGCACGGGCCTTTTTTTTTTTTTTTTCCTTATCCTTATTATTAATTAAAATTATAGGATATTTTTTGATTAAAATTTAAAAATTTGAAGTTTTTTTCATTCGCTTTTCTTAGAAAATATGGCCTGTTCTTGAAACCAAAAGAGAAAATAAGACCCTTTCTTTCTTTATTTCAACTATTAACATTGAACAAGACTAATGGAGCTGTTTTTGTTGGAAAACATAGTTTGAGACAGATTCGTCGCAATATATAACCTAGAGTATATATGAATAGTACTGAACTTGACCGGTAGACGTGAGTATAGATATCAAAGAAACTTACTTACAAAGATTAACGCTTAACCCCGTGACATGAAATTTTTTATCTTATGGAGACTCTTCAACATTTTTTTTGGGTTCATTTTTCTTTTAAAATCTATTTGGGAAAGCATGAATCAGATTGTGTTGTTGAATCCCACATAAATTTATTTATTTATTGGTAAAAGGTTACTCTATTACCAACACAATACATTACAGAAGAAGAGGCCCACATACGAAACACAAACAAAAAATGGACCTCCATGGTAACCCTTAGCCCAACACAAAGTATTGAGTGAGCCCAATTCAGAAAAACCGAAAAACACACCAAAGAAACCTGCAGCCTGAACGCCTCAAACGGAGACCCCAACAACCGCCTGAAATCCAGCCAAGAAAAGCCGACCCAGAAGTGAAGGAACAGAAGACGCGTTACTCCAAAGAGCACCCCAAAGTTGCAGCCACCAATCGAAGGAACAAAGGAAGCCTGCCAGAAGAAGGAACCCACAAGCAACAATGCCAACGAGGGCACACAGACGGAGGTGGCGGGAACACCCGAGCAGGAGCTATACTCACCTTCCAAGAGAATTGCGGAAGTTTGCGGGTAAAATTAGTGGTTGCAAATCTAAATGGTGGCACTGAGGAGAAATAGGAAAGGGGATGGATGACAGAGTAGCAAAGTAAAGGGAAAATGGAAGGAAACGGGAAAAGGGATGAAAGGGAAAGAGGAGAAACAGGAAGGGGGAAGGACGGAAGAGATGGAAAGGAGGGCTGAGGAGTGAGGACAATCAAAGGGCAACAGAGATGGGACGAAGTAAGGGGGTAGCAAGCCTAAAAAACAAAAGAAAAAACAAGCTGAAAGCAAGGAAAGAGAAGGAAACATAAAAGAAAAGGAGAAGGGGAGGGGACTGCCACCGACCCTGGCCATAGCTAAGGTAACAAAAAAAGTCGAGAAACTGTGTAAAAGGTCCCACCAAAAACATAAATCACACAGAGGGTGAAGAGCAACGTTCACTGAGTCTTGTGGAGCCAATTTAGGTTGATATTCTCTTTGGCCACAATTATACTTACGTTTTTCAGATACGACGAGAATGATTCCCATAAATATTTTGCCTCTTCATCACAGACCACTTCCTTTAACTGCTCAAGACCCTTGACTGATGGAGGCAGCTCCTGGAACCTTGAACATTGTCTCATGTTGATCTTTCTTAAACCACTCATTTCACCAATATCTTCGGGCAACACCTTGATGCTGAAGCAATCAGATATGTCAAGAAAGTGTACCTTTCCAAGGTTCTTCATCAAGGTTGGAAGCTCCAACAGTTCTGTGCAGGATCTTAGCCTCAACATTTCTAAATTTTTCAACTTTCCAATCCCTTCAGGCAAGGCAGATAGCTTATGACAGTTAGTGACATTGAGCTTCTTTAGTTTACTAAGATCACAAACCTCGGCAGGCAATTCAATTAAATCACTGCAATAGTCGATGTTCATTTCCTCTAGATTTGGGAATGCTGATGAGATTGAGATGGAACAGTTGTTGAAAGCTTGATCAATGTTACACATGAACAAGGATATCTTCTTCAGACTAGCCAATTGTATGGGATTCTTAGTTATGGAAGGAATTGAGATGCGTTCTAATCTGATTCTCTTAAGATTTGGTAATGAACTCAAAAGTTGGAAGTTACTCAATTCAGCAGGTAAGAAACCATAATTTGTGACTATCACAGCCTTCAATTCACCCATGTTCACCATGGAATCTGGTAAAGCATAGTTCTCTGTCTGAAAATTCAATACTAAAACCTCAGCTTCTAGCATTTGCAAGTTGGGCCATTTTGTTGAAAACCCTTCATCTGCAAAGTAACAACTGTGAGTGTGGGGAGGAGAAACTAAAATGAAAGTATTATGAAGACTTAATGTGCACACATGTGCATGCGGAATGAATATTTATTTGTGCATGTCTACGTAATTGCTAAAGCGAAAGGGAGAGATAGAACAACCAGTTGTTATGGATAATAAGCGGGCCTTCATCTGCTTCTGTTCTCTCCACCATTTTGGAAGTTTGTCTCCGCATATGTCAATAATCAGTCTTTTTCTACGTTCTACTGGTCCTTTTTTTGTGTTGTAGATAGCCAGTTCCCTAAGAACATCATGCTGGGTAACAAAGTGCTCACTATAATACCCGTCCCCCTCAATCTTGTCCTTCCTGGTGACGATTAAAACTAAGTTTCTTAGAAGAGATTTCTTCAACCAACAGATTGCAACAAGAAATTAGCATCAACCAGTCGTGAATATAAAGGGGAAATAGAGCGAAAATAAAGCATGCACACCTTGTAACAACAAGATTAGCCAGACTTCGTTCGGTGAGCTTGTGGAGGTTTGCAATGCACTCTATATCTGTATCTAAATCATATAACTCTGCCCAGATATCAATGAGGGCCGCAGCAGGGATTCTTTGGTCTTCCGGAAATGCACCTAAGTCTAAGAAACATTCCTTGATGGCAACCATTTCTTTATCCAAGGCATCCAAGCTTTGTTCAAGGATGAAAAGCAATTCAGTCTCTGAATCAAGAAAAGTAAAACCTTTAGACCAGTCAAGTTCCCTTTTTTGCCATATCTCTATAGGCTGCCCGCAAAGCGATCTCCCCGCCACTGTAATAGCAAGTGGAAAGCCCTTGCAACGCTCAACTATCTGCAGGATAATTTCCCAAACAAAGCCAACTACCTTTTAAGTTGCAGAGCCAAAGTTCAAGTTACTAAGATGAGAAAATGGATAAATAAACTATCTAGATTTCGTTATTCTAATTTTAGTTTTAGTCCACAAATATGCTTAAATGCATGACTACTCACAGGTTTATATGGTAAATGGATGTGTTCGTCCACTCGATTGTGGATGCTTTGCGTAAAGTGAACATAATTTCTTGATAATTTTCCAAAACCAAGTCAACTAACTTTTGACTATACATTCTGTGCATTGCAACTAAAAAGTACCTTTTCTGGAAGATCTTTTGGAATATGAGAGCTCTTATCTCCAAGGGATGCTGAATGATCAAAAAGTTTCATCGCATTGTCATGACTCAATGGTTGCAAAGAACAAGGGAAACCATATCCCCGAAATTCAGACCTAGATGTCACCAAAAACTTGTAATTTTCCGTTTTGAATTGATCAAACTTCTCCAGAAGGGATTCTGATCCAGACCAAACATCATCCAGGACAATCAGTATAGGATTCTGCCCTTCTTGCTTCAGAAAACGTTGCAGCAATGTCACTGTACTAACTTCGTTTTGGAAAGGAGGTACCTGGATACCCTTGCGTTGATATAGATCTTGAACAATATTTTCCAATTTATGCTTTTTTGAAACCGTGACAAAGAAGATATTATCCTTGAATGTATCTATATAAAAAAAAAAAAACATAATAAATCTGTCCTTGAGGCGTCATTTAAATCTGCCGTGGTTGTACAAAGAAAAAAAAACATATACAATTCAGAGTGCTAAGTTATAATATATGATACCTTTGACATCCTTGTCTTGACAGAACTTTGTAGCCAAAGTTGTTTTTCCACATCCTCCGGGAGCAGTCAGCACAACCATTGACACATTTTCGTCCTTTAGAAGCTTCCTCTTCAATTCCTTTAGAGGAAAATCCAATCCAACCACAAGCGGCGGAAGTTCAGGTACTGCGCAGAAGGCTTCACAATCGAGTTGCTTTGGGATCACCTGATTCAATTCAATTCTTCCAACCGCCTCCTCTATAATCTTCACCGTAACTGCAATGTCCTTCACATCCCTTATTCCCTGAACGTTTAGTATTTCCAAATGTTGTTGAAGAGATTCATTCCATTCAATCAGCCTGTTGGCGTATTTGTACCTTTTGGCTACGCTCCACCATTGAGTCTTTTCGCACTTTGGAAGGAGCTGTATGCCCTCCTCCAAATGTACTTTTAACTTTTTCAGTTCCTCGACCGGAAGATCCAATTTCTTGTTGGATTCTTCTATATCTTTCAACAATGGTGCCAAAAGGTCTAACTTGGATTCGATGCGTTTGAGGAGGGGCGTAAACATTACATTCTTGGTGATCAGCTCCTTGAGGGCATCATACAGCATACTGAATGCTAGTCCGAGACCAGCCCCTCCGAAAAGGTCATCCGCTCCACCCATTTCTTGATTCTTAACAACAAAAACCAACACCAAAATCAGAAGAACTTACAAAAGTTTCAATCTAAAATGTACGACGACAGAAAATAACAGGGAAATTGGCCGAAATGATCAATTTTCACCCAATCGTTGAAATGATCAGTTTTTCAGTATGTGTTCGATATTGGATTTTGATAAATTCAGAGATTGAGAATTTGAGATTTGATTTCGGACCATTTTAGCCACTTTCCCAAAACAATAACAGATTAGAAACTGTGGAAAAACGAGACACTCTTAAACTTGGAACCCAAAATAAAGCGATTCAGAAAACAAGCAATACAAAGTTGGACTTTCTCTTACCTTGTTGGTGCTCAAGCTATCTGGGTTTTAGCATAGAAATACTTACTATTGAAGCTCGATAGAAATTTCGGAGTTGGAGCGCGTTGTATAGTACACCCAGTCGGCTCAGGCCGACTGAGAATCGCAAATTCTACAAGAAAGCGGTGCAGGAAGGGAAGGGAAAAAAGAGTTCAGGGAAAGAGGCAGTTTAGTTCATCATTCTTCATGGCCCTTCTCTGCCCTTCAGTACATATATGCTTCGAAAGGAAATTTTTACCCAAAAAAGTTTTTTTAACTCGGAAAATATAGTCACACTCAAAAAATTCATCTCCACACTTTTAGGCGGAAAAGGATCGAAAATCTTATGATCATTCATTGTATATCGTATCATCAGAAATTATTTAAAATTTAAATTAAATATAAATAAGATCTAACAAAACTGACTGAATAATATATAATGAACGGTCACGATCACGAAATCTTTCAGATCTCTAGAAAAGGATCCACCACCACACTTGGTAATTGATTTCGCTTTTTTTTTTTTTTTTTTTTCTTTTTTTTGTAAGGCAACCCAAATTTTATTATAAATAGTCAAATTAAAAAAAAATCATCTTCAAGCTAGAATCTCTATGATGGTAAAATAAACAACTATTCTTTGATTTTAGAGTGCAACAATTCATTTGTTAAATATTAAAAAATAAATAAAACTCAAGGGTGGACCTTTGAGCAAAAAGAAATGGTAAAGAAAGAATGTTGTTTTAGAAAATGAGTAGGTTGGGTTTAAATTGTTAATAATAAAATATTCTTGTTAAAATACAAAGTGTTGTTAGAGATGAAAAGGTAAACTGAATAGTTGAATTAGTTTTTTGAAATTGTTCACTTGCTAGTTTAACAAAAATTTAAATGAGAGAGTCGAACTAGATTAGGCGAGTTGAGCTACACTATATATAAGGTTTGGTCGTTAGATTATAATAGTAGTTTTACTCTCTAAACCAGCACAAGACGGTAAAAATGAATCAAGACATCGAGATTAGGCATCAACAACAAAGTATGCTACTTTTTTCTCACTTAGAGCAATGAGAAAGAGCAATGATTGATTAAGTATTTAACCATTATTTCTATGTTGCAGTTAACTCACTCGCGGTCGAGCACTACTGATCATATTTTGACAATATGGTGAACCAAAACTTAGATAATCTTTACCAAAGTAAGAAACTAAAAAAAACATATAGATATAACCAAATGCACAATTGACATATTAGGTGCAGTTAAAACACATTTTGTTTCGCATAATCAAAGAAAATATACTACACATTATTTATATTGTGTCAAACAATAACATGATATTTATACATAAAAAAACAACACAAGATATGAAGACTCGAGAGTTTGAAATAAAAACTCATATGATGAAACATAGAAATTGGACAGAACCAAGAACGAAACATGTTGCTCCAACATTTATTGAGGAAAACAATGCAACACAAATCAGAAACATGTTGCTCCAACATTTATTGAGGAAAGACAGGTCTCATAACTGAGGCTTCTCGAGCCAATTCAGATTGGAATTTTCTTTTGTCACCTTGATTTTGTCTCTGGCTAAGAAGGAATCCCAGAAAGGTTTCTTCTCTTCATCACAAATCACTTCCTCTAACTGCTCGTCAAGATCCCACACTGATAGAGGCAACTCCAATCTTGAGCATTGTGCCATGTTGATCTTTCTTAAACCTCTCATCTTACCAATGCCTTCAGGCAACGTCCTAATGCCGAAACAATTATACATGTCAAGGCAGCGCAACTTAGTGAGGTTCTCAATTGAAACCGGAAGCCCTACCAACTCTGTACAGGACCTTAGTCTCAATACATCCAAATTCTGCAGCTTTCCGATCTCTTCAGGCAAGGAAGATAGCTTATGGCAGTTGGTGATACTAAGCACCTTCACATGAGCAAGATCACATAGCTCGGCAGGCAGTTCCACCAAATCATGGCAATAGTCGATATTCATTTCCTCTAGACCCGGCCAGGCATCAGAAATTTTGATGGAACAATTGTGGAAAGCTTGACCCATATTACACATGAATAAAGATATCTTCTTTAGACTCTTCAATGGTACCCAGTTCTTGGTTATGGAATGAATTGAAATGCTCTCTAATCTTATTCTCTTCAGATTTGATAATGATTCCAGAAGATCAAAATTACTCAATTCAGTAGATGATAAACCATAGTTTGTGACTATTAGAACCTTCAGCTTGACAATTTTCTGCACAAATTCAGGTAAGGCATTGTTCTCCGTCTTAAAATTCAAAACTAGAACCTCAACTTGTGGTAGATGAACACTCTGCCATTGTGTTGGGTACGTTCCATCTGCAAACAATATGCTACGAGATATGAGTAGGAGAGAATTAAATGAAACTTTAGTGTATATTTTAGCGTGTGTGTCTGTGTGGTGCACGTGCATTTGCGTGTGTACATATACATGTACTTGTGCATGTGTTGATGTGTGTGGAGAAAATAAATGATAGTGCTATTCAAATCTGAGTGTGTGTGTGTGTGTGTGTGTGTACATATGCTGGTCATAGGTAGATGCACGTATATGCATTTTATAAAGAGAGTGAGATGGAACAACCAGAGGAGATAGACAATAGGCGAGCGTTGATGGGTTGAGACTTCTGCTCCCTCAACCACTTGGGTTGATTGCGTCCACTTACGACAATCAGTCTTTTTCTATCTTCTATTGGGTCTAATTTCGCAATGTAGATACCCAGCTCTCTAAGCATATCATGCTGGCGAACAAAGTGTTCGCTGTAGTAGTTATCCAGAATCACCACATTCTCCTTCCTGGTAACAATCCAAACTCAGTCAGTTGCAGACTTGCAGTTGTATATTATGGTAGGAGCTACTCATGAATATAGAAATTTTCAATGAGAATATTATACTGGAGAAACATAAAATCTTGAGTACCTAGTGATCACAAGATTTGCCAGACCTTTCCTGGCGAGCTCGTGGAGGTTCTTGATGGACTGAAAGTCCCCATCTAGCATATATAACTCTGCCCACATATCAATGAAAGCAGCAGCAGAGATTCTTTGATCTTCAGGAAATGAAACAAGGTCCATGAAACATTCCCTGGTGATAGCCTCTTTGTCACCTAAGGCATCTATGCTACTTTGAAGGCAAAGAAGCAACTTAGTCTCATAATCAAGAATAGAACCTCTACACCAGTCTTCTAGTCTGGAAAGCCAGGATTCTGCAGCTTGTCCGCTAAGTGAGTTCCCGGTCACTGTAATGGCAAGTGGAACTCCCTTACAGTGCTTTAGTATCTGCAGGTTAGTTGTACCAAATGATGTCAACTACTATCCGAGTTGCAGACTGTAAGTTCAAGTTTCTTTTAACATCTCAATGGTTTCATGAAAATGGTTAATGACTACCTACTTATCTTCATTCTTATTTTAGTTTTAGTTCTTAATTAAAATCATATGTGATTCGTGAATGATCATTTGCACGTTCGTATGGTAAAATGGGTGTTCGCTTCTGTATGTGTATACTTATCGTAAAAGATCAAAACAATTTCTTGTCCCCACTTTGTTGCCCTATAATTTGTGAGGCCTTGATAAGTATATTGTGTCGTGAATTGCATAGTGAGAAACAAACCTCTCTCAGGAGATCTTCTGGAACAGACAAGCTATCTCCCAGGGCTGCTGAATGACGCAAAAGAGTCATTGCATCTTTATCCTCCAAAGGTTCGAGTTTATACCGAGTGCCAAATCCTGGAAATTCAGATCTCGATGTCACCAAGATCTTGTAATTTCGCAATTTCAAATCAACAAACTTCTGAAGAACAGACTCGGACCAAACATCATCCAGGACCAACAGTCGATCTTGTCCTGCTTCCTGAGACTTTATGCGTTGATATAGCTTTTCTACATCTGAGTTGGGGTGTTCCGAAACAGTGACAAAGAATATATTTTCCTTGAATTTATCTATCAAAATACAACACAAGAAATATGTTAGATAAATGTGTAAACAAAGAACAAGACACGATGGTAACGTTAAGACAGAAAAAATTAACTCTTGATCTCAAGTACAGCCCTAGGATAAGCAAAGAGTATGAAACGAGTGAAGCAGTTTTCGTATTGGAACGTAGTCCAATCATGAAGCTAGTGTTGTAAATTCCTACCCGTGAGGTTTTCCATTTATATTCCTGTACGACTCAGTCTCTCAGATATGAACTGTATATCTGCAATGGGGATTATTCTTTGCTGATATAACGCATGAGTGAGACTAATATCCAAGATATACCAATATTCAAGCAATTGAAATATTACACTTATGGATTAACTTTGGCGTTATATATATCTGAAGCTGGGATTTATTTGGTATACATAGGTGCTGTAAACTCATACAAAAGGCTTCAACTCTACGACCGACATCTATAACATAGTAGTCGTACTAATCGAGAGAAAAAGATGTTAAATTACAGATTAATTCTACTATAACACTTCTCAATTAGCTATTAGAAAGTACTATCATACCTTTGACGTCCTTATCTTGACAGAATTTCGTTGCCAATGTGGTTTTCCCGCATCCTCCCGTAGCAGTCAGCACTAACATTGAGACATCGACCCTAAGAAGCATCTTCTTCAAATACCTCAAAGGCTCATCCAATCCAACTGTAACACGTGGAGGTTCTGGAACTGAACCCAAATCACGAAATCCTTCTTGATTTTGTATCACAACATTCTCTTTGCTTCCAACCGAACCATTTTTCTGGACAGCAGCCAAGATCTCCTTCGTCACAGCCAAGGTCTCGCTCGAAACACCAAATGTCTCCCCTGAAACAGCCAAGTTCTCGCTCGCAACAACAAATGTCTCCCCTGAAACGGCCAAGCTCGTCCTCGCAACACCGAATGTCTCCCTTGAAACAGCCAAGTTCTCCCTCGCAACACCAAATGTCACCCTTGAAACAGCCAAGTTCTCCCTCGCAACACCAAATGTCTCCCTTGAAACAGCCAAGTTCTCAAACGTATTCCTTGTTCCCTCCACATTCAGTATCGTCAACAACCTTTTTAGACACTTGTCCAAATTGAGAAGTCGGTTGGTGTATTTATACTTTTTGAAGAGTTTCCACCGGCTAGGCTTGGAGCACTCGAGAACTAACTCTTTCCCATTCTTCATTTGTTTCTCAATTTTTTCTACTTCCTTGTTTGATTGATCCAACACCGCTTTGTACTTCGCGATGTCATCGATCAGCGGCTTTAAC